ATACACATAACAGGTCCCAGATTCAGGAAATGCTGTGTCTATTTAGCCAGGGGCCCCATGACCACTGGGTATCTATTCGTATAGACTAGTGTTCAGGTAGGGGCTTCATGATGCAGTTTTGTAAAACAGGTGTTGGGGTAAGAAGGAAATGGAGTGGCACACGGTGTCCATCCCCGTGGACTGGATGGAAGTCAAAGGGCCTGTATTCCAGAAGCCATTTGGAAACCAGGGGCACAATCAGTGCTGTCATGTTGCCTAGTGGGGACATGGATTCTGAGCTGGGGAGAAGGGCTACGCCCACATCTATAGGTCACAACGCCTGGCTTCCGGGCGTCCACGATGAAGGGGGTGGGCTGCCTTTCAGGAGATACCCCCTGGCCCACACAGCACTCTCATCCAAAGGGTGCTGGTGCCAGTGAGCACACAGGGGATGCCCCAGGGACTCCCTGCAACATGGGGGAAGAATTGGAGACAGAATAGCCAAGTAGAAATAGCATGTCAGTAAAATGCAAAAGATCTGGTGCAACCTGGGCACCCCCATTTTCACATATTCTGTGAGCCATTGGCTGAAGTTAAGAGTGAAGCAGAGGAGCCCTTTCTGACAGGCAGAAGAAGGGGCAGAGATAGAGCAGGTGAGTTAGAAATCTTTGCATGGGACAGAGGCCAGGGCAAGTCTGGCGGTGGGCGGTGGGGGGGAGGTGCTTGGTGAGGAAGGGATTAGACCGCCATGGCTCAGGTCATGGTCTCCTTGGTTGTGAGCTCGAGCCTCGCCTCGGGCTCTGTGTGACAGCTCAGAGTCTGGAGCCTGCTCCGCATTGTGTTTCCGGCTCCCTCTGCCCCTCCCCCGCTTGTGCTCTCTCTATTTCTCAAAACTAATAAATAAACATAAAAAAAAAATCAAACGTATGCAGCTGCCATCAGTCAATGAAATGTGGTGCTTTTAAATTGGAGCAGCCAAGAGGCTGGAAGCATGTGATCAGGACACAGAGCAAAAGGAACTCTCGTTCATTGTTGGTGCAAACTTTGGAAGACAGTTGGACGGTTTCTTACAAAACTAAACATATTCTTACCATACGATCCAGCAATAGTGCTCCTTAGTATTTACCCAAAGGAGTTGAAAACTTATGTCCACACAAAAACCTACACATGGATGTTTATAGCAGCTTTATTCATAACACCAAAACTCAGAAGCAACCAAGATGGCCTTCAGTAGGTGAATGGGTAAATAATCTGTGGTACATCCAGACGATGGGATATTATTCAGTGCTAAAAAGATAGGCTCTATCAAGCCACAAGGAGACGGGGAGGAAACTTAAATGCATCTAACTGAAAGAAGCCCATCTGAAAAGGGTACACACTGTTTGATTTCCACTATATGCCATTCTGCAAAAGGCAAAACTACAGAGACAGTAGAAAGATCAGTGGCCGCCAGGGGCTGGGGGAAAGAAGAGATGTACAGGCGGAATACAGAGGACTTTAAGGCACTGCAGATACTTTGTGTGATATTATAATGATGCATATCTACCATTATACATTTGTCCAAACTCATGGAGTGTATAACGTCAAGAGTGAACCCTAACGTAAATTATGGATGCCGGGGGTGGTGGTGATGTGAAGCCTGTCATAGTAAATGTACCACTCTGGTGGGGGGACAGCCATAGTGGGGGAGGCTGTGCATGAGTGTGGGTGGGGGTATATGGGAAATCTCTGCCCCTTCCTCTCAGCTTTGCTGTGAACATAAAACTGTGCCAAAAAAAAATAATAATAACAAAGTCTATTCAGAAAAAAGTGGAATGATGAGAAACCACAGCTGGATAGTTGACCCCCATTACCCAGACTGACTAGGCAGCGACCAGCCCGTTCAGGAGCCAGCCTCCACCTCTGCCCTGAGCAAAGAGAAACATTCATAGTCTACATCTGACTGAACACAGCCCACCCAGACTGATGCATTGGCCACCACCAACATGCCTCGAGGACCCTGGTTTCTTATCTTCGTCAGTTTTTCCAGGCCTTTGGTTTAGGAGCCATCATTTCTAGTGGTCAACATGGCTCTTGTTGAAATGCTTCTGTAAAACCATTTCAGTCACTCAGGATCTACTTCTCCCTTCAGCTGGAGCTAAGTCCTGCAGGTCTGCCTTTAATCTTTTGCAGGAGTATCCTCCAGATATTTATTCCAAGAATGTAAGTACTTTATACTTAAGCATCTCCTTGGAGATGGGCATGGATGAGTACGCCCATTTTACAGATGAGAAAACATAAGAAAGTTTTA